TCCAGCTCATTTGCATCCGTTGCTCTCTTCTGCTTTTAGACATGTTTTGATAATGTTAATTGTTTCTTATTGGGCATGATTATTCTTATTTTATTATAATTATTAGTAATATGATCAGGAGATAGGCAGCGGGCGGGTTGGGCCTTGGGTGTGCCTGGGCCTCGGCGACTGGGCTGTGGAGGTTTGGGCCTCGGGTGGGCAGCTTGTTTGGGCCTCGGGTGGGCAGTTTAGGCCTCAGGGGGCCAGGGTGTCAGCAGCTGGACTTCAGGCGGATTGGGCCTCGGCGACCAGGCGGGTCTTGGCCGCGGTGGCGGGTGGGTGATTTGGGCCTTGGTTGGGCCTGGGCCTCTGTGGCCGGGCTGTGGGCAGGTTGGGCCTCAGGGCAGGCCTTGGCCTCAGTGGGCATGTCTGGGCCTTGACCTTGGTGGGTGGGCCTGTGCCAGGGGCTGGCCTGGGCCTTGGTGGGTGGGCCTGGGCCTTGGGCGGGCCTGAGCCTCGGAGGCTGGGCAGAGGGCTAGCCTAGGCCGAGGCAGTGGAGGGCGGGGGATAGTGGCTGCAGGAAGGTGGCGTCTGTGTCTGATGACGTCAAAAATGCCTCTCTCTGTCTCTCTGTACTGTGGGTACCCTGAATTGCCTGGTATCTGCGCTGATATCCTTTACTATGGCAAGGAGACCCCTTTGGGAAGGGCTATGTCGGCTCCTGAGGCTTTGTTCTTATATGCTTCCTCTCCTCTGGAAGTGCCACTTTCTGAAGGGGCTTGCTCCAGCCTGCTCCCCGCCTGCCCCCCCCCCCCCCCCGCACTGTAAGCTCTGCAGGGCACGGAGGCAGTTGCCGGAGCGGTAGCCGAGTGCAGGCGGGTGAAAGCTCAAAAGGCCTGTAATTCCTCAGCAATTTGATCTTCTAAAAAAGCAAGTTCAGAATGTTGAAACATAAGGTCTTATGTTTGCTCAAAGGCTGTCTGTCTGCTAGACGGAGGTTTCCTTTGTGCAATACCACCCTTTTCCCCAGTAGCCTGCCCTACCTGTGCTGCCTGGTCAGGGACGCACTGGAAGTGCTGCCATTAACTTCTAGCTCATTTGCACCATGGTAAGAGAACATATTCTGGAAAATTATAATCACTTGAAACTTGATGAAATTTGCTAGAGGGCCAACACACAATTCCTAGAAATATTCCACATGTGTTTGAAAATAATGGGTATTTTGCAGTTAACTGTGTTTCTCAAATCTTCTTTATCCTTACTAATTTTGTTGCTTATATTTTCAAGCTGTTACTAAAAGAGCTCTGGAAACTGTTCCACTGTAACGGAATCTTTCTTTTTGATTCTCTCAGTTTGTCAATTTTTGTTGTTCATCTAAGGTAGGATAAGTTATGTGCAAACTTTGAATTATTATTTCTTCTTGGTGACCTAAACCTTTCATCATTATGAACTGCCCTGTATATATTCAGTAAATTTGTTGATGTGAGTGCTGTGGCTCTGTAAGGCATGCACTGGACTGCTAACAACAAGGTCTATGGTTTGAGTCCACCAACTGCTCCACAGGAGAAAAAGAAGACCTTCTGCTTCCCTAAGATTTATAGGCTTGGAAACCCTATACAGGGTCACAATGAATCAGAACTGATTTGATAGCATTTAACATTTGTTGCCCTGAATTTTATTTTGTCAGATTTCAAGGACTCTGGTAGCATAGTGGTTATGAATTGGGCTGCTAACCTCAGGGTCAGCAGTTCGAAACTACCAGCTGTTCCACGGGAGAAGATGAGGCTTTCTGCTAGTATAAAGATTTACAGCCTCGGAAACCCTGAATGGGGTCGCTATGAGTCAGAACCGACTCCACAGCACATAAACAACAACAATAAAGAGCTTCTTTTGTTATTTTTAAACTTTGTACTGCATATCTTCTTTATATTTAAAAGATTTTATCCTTTCTAGATTATTTTATATTAAATGTATACAAAATAACCATCATGGAGTAGGGTCTAATACTTTGATCTAGTCTGACAATAAAAAATTTAGCTCACTTATATTTAACATAGTGAGTTACTTGATGGAACAAATAGTTTTGTGCTCAGCTACTAGCCAAAAGGTTTGCAGTTCGAATCCACCCAGAGACACCTTAGAAGAAAGGCATGGAACTCTACTTCTGAAAGGTCACAGCATTAAAAACCCTATAGATTATATAGTTGTACTATGCACACATGGGGTATCCATGAGTCAAAATCAAACTGATGAAAACTTCCTCGTGTGTGTGTTTAATTTTAATATTGCTGTGCTTGCGGTTGAGTAGATTTGGATTCATAGTGACCCTATAAGTCAGTGTTGAACTTACCCACAGTGTTTCCTAGGTTGGTATCTTTATGGGAACAAATCACTAGGTCTTTTTCCTGAGGAGTCAGTGGTGGGTTCAAAGGGTCAACCTTTAGGTTTGAAGCCTACGGAATTTACAGTCATGCAGACAGCCAAAGAATCGAACATACCCACCAAACCTACTTAATTGTATAGTCAGTGGCATTGTGTAAGGTTGGGAATAAACTGTATTGTAATATTGACTTATTAGGAGGTGCTCAGTGTGAGAGAGAGTGATAACAAATAAATATTATATATAACATTTATCTCAAGATAAGTATTTTTAAACATTATATACAAGCACACAAAGAAAAAAAGAAACAAATCCTTACCAATTTTTCTGCTTCTGTGTTCATTTCTCTTAACTTCTTGATGTGTTCCTTTTTAATCATGAGGATTTTTGATAATTTGGTCTATAGGGAGAAAATGTTTTGGAATAAACAGAGGCATTTAATTATATCAATGAGATACCATATTTCCAACTTTTCACTAAGATATTTTAACAGTAATTTAGAGTTTAAATATAAATATAGCAAGGTTATTTTATTTTTATAAGTCTGATTGATTCGCTGACAGGAAAATATTACTTTAAAATCCATTAAGCCAAGATATGTTAAAAGGACTAAGAAGTCAATCTGGCCAGGCTCTCAAGGGCCAACGTGAGATAATTTATCCATCAAAAATAAGACAAATTACAAAGGATTGTTGCTATTGTTATTAGGTGCAATCAAGTCAGTACTGACTCATAGCAATGCTATGCACAGCAGAATGAAACACCGCCTGATCCTGGGCCAACCTCACAATTGTTGCCACACTGATGCTGTCACTTTGCCAATCCATCTCATTGGAGGTCTTCCTGTTTTTCTCTGACCCTCAACCCTACCAAACATGATATCCTTCTCCAGCGGCTGGTCCCTCCTGACACTATGTCCGAAGTATAAGAGACGAAGTTTGGCCATCTTGGCCTCCAAGGAGCACTTTGGCTGCACTTCTTCCAACACAGACCCGTTGGTTCTTTTGGTAGCCTATGGTATTTTCAATATTCTCCTCCAACACCATAACTCAAAAATATCAGTTCTTCTATGGTCTTCGTTATTCACTGCCCAGCTTTCACACTCATACGAGGTTATTGAAAATACCATGACTTGGGTCAGGTGAACCTTAGTCCTCAGGCTGACATCTTTGTTCTTCAACACTTTAAAAAGGTCTTGCTGACAGGGCTGATGAAAGGAGATGGGGATAGATCTCATGTGGCACAATAGTGAAAAACTGCTATCAAGACTGACTGTGAGGGTTGGAAATGTAAAAGTAGATGTTTTGTAGCAAAAGGAGGAGACTGACTGACTTTGCAGTCCAGGAATGGAGGTCCCTGGGACCATCAAGGAAGAAGACCCTCTACAGGGTCACTGTGGTCGGAACCAACTTGACAGCACTTAACAACAACAATAACAACTTGTCCAAATGGATTTCTGGTGTGGCACTGTGGGTTAATGCAATGGGTTGCAAAGTCGGTTTGAACTGCCAAGATCAGTGGTTCAAGCTCACCAGCTGCTCCTTGGAAACTTTATACAGGGTTGCTGTGGGTCGGAAAGAACTGAATGGCACTCGTTGGTACTGATTCGATGGCACTTAACAACAACAATCATCTATAAGTTTAAGCACTGGACCACAAGGCTGGTTTGAAATGCAAGGTTGGCGGTTCAAACCCACCAGGTATGCCTTGGAAACCCTATACAGGGCCACTATGAGTTGGAACCGACTCAAAAGCACTTAACATCATCTATAAAAAGAGGAAGGTCCCCAACGAGATGGACTGTCCAGGTGGCAACATTGATGGACTCAAACGTGGCAACAATGCTGAGGTTGACTCAGGATTGGGCAGTGTTTCGTTATGCTGTGCATAAGGTCGCTATCAGTTGGTACCAACTTGATGGCACCTAACAACAACAATATTTGTGAGAATGACAAACCATGGCTATTTTTCTATTATCACCTTTTCATACAAAAATATTTCTCTTTGGAAGCCAACAGCTGTAAGTATAAGAAATTCTACGTTGTTGTTAAGTGCCGCTGAGTTGGGTCTTACTCACAGTGACAGAGTTTCCAAGGAGCAGTTGGTGAGTTTGAACTACCAACCTTGCAGTTCAAACCAACCTTAAGCTCCAGTGCATTATCCTATGTCACCACACCAGGACATCTGTATTACAGGAATAATGTTAATTAAAAAAAAATAATAATTAACAATGTCTTATTGAAAAATATAAAATACTATACACATGCACAAATGACAAGTTTCTACAAAATTGTTCAAAAGGTAAACACTTGTCAATATTTTAATGGATTATAGTATAAACATTTGTTTACCATGAGTTAGACTTGACTAAAGGACTTGGTTTTAGCTCTCCTAAGGGCAAAAAAAACTCTGTTAATGTAGTCGTTATGAGTCGGGTTGCTAATCTCACGGTCAGTAGTTCGAAACTACCAGTACTTCCACAGGAGAAAGATGAGAGGTTTTCTGCTCCCACAAAGATGTATAGCCTTGGAAACCGTATATAGGGTTGCTAAGGGTTAGAACTGACTCCACAGCATATAATCACCACCACTACCATCCTAAGCCAAAGGAGCCTTAGTGGTACTGAGTTAGACTTTGGACTGTTAACTTCAAGGTCAGCAGTTCAAACCCATCAGCAACTACTCAGAAGAAAGATGAAGAAAAAGCCTTGGAAACGCTAAAGAGCAGTTCTACTCTGTTCTTTACGGCCGCGATGAGTAAGAATCGACTCAATGGCAATGGGTTTTGGTTTAAGCCAAAGTACTTTTTCTTTTAAAAAACAGAAAGAAGAAACAAGTCAAACATTAGATTCTGATTAAAACTAAATAACTTAGTCTAACTTTCAAAACTAACAACTCACTAATCCACTGCTGTCCAGTCGATTCCACCCCACAGTGACCCTGAGGTTCTAAGTCTTTACAGAAATAGATAGTATCATCTTCCTTTGGAGGGGCTGGTGGGTTTGAACAGTTCATCTTTTGGTTAGCAGCTCAACACTTAAGCCACTGTACTACCAGGGCTCATTAACAGCTGCTCATTGGTGATGGTGAGTGGTTAGTGGTTCGTGGTGGTGTGCTATCAAATCAGTTCCAACTCATGCTGACCCTGCAAATCTTTAAGGAAGCAGAAAGTCTCATCTTTCTCGGCAACAACTCATTACATGCTTTAAAATAATAATATAGTGCTCAGCAGACCTTGACTGGAGTACTGGTGTTACGTTGTAGGCTAAGCACTGGATGGCAAGGTAGGTTTGAACTGCAAGGTCAGTGGTTCAAACTCACCACACGCTCCTCGGAACCAACTCAATGGCACTTAACAACAATAGACCTGGGCTGGTTCTCAGAAAATAACGTTCAACATATTTCTAAACTTATTTCAACTTAGATTTCTTAATGACTAGCTTTCTGCTCCTATAAAGATCACTAAAGACTCAGAAACCTTATATAGGATCACTATGAGTTCAAACCGACTCAATGACACTAGCAACAATAATAATCACTAAATTAATTCTGGTAGTGCAGCAGGTTATGCACTGGATGGATAATCCCAAGGTCAGCAGTTCAAATCCACCAGAGGCTTCTTGGAAACCCTCTACAAGGTCGCTATGAATTGGAACTGACTTGACAGCACTTAACAACAACAACAATCACTAAATACTTAGTAAGTAAATATCTGTTTCTAGTCTCAGTAAAAGAAAGAATTCCTTTTAACAATATAGCTAGTGAAACATCAAAACTATTAATGTATCAGGTTACTCTGTTGTTGTTAAGTGTTGGTAAGTTAGTTCTGACTCAAAGTGACCCTTAACATGGTTTCCAAGAAGTGGCAGTTAGCAGTCCAGTGCTTATCTTATAGCACTACACCAGGAGATTACAAAATAATAATAATAAAAAAAAGCACTAAAAAAAAAAGCCCTCATATCTACCCTAAATCAGGTGAGACTGTAAGTCTTTATGAGAACAGAAAGCCAGAAAGTCTCGTCTTTCTTGGTGGCGTGGCTGGTAGAGTCAACATGTTGACCTTGTGTTTTGCAGTCCAGCTCGTAATCCACTACACTACCAGGACTTCAACTCAGAATTTCACACAACAGAGCGTATGAGTTCTTAAAAATAGCAAAATAGTAAGAACCAAAGCTAATGAAAAGTTCAACAAGAAGCCTCCAAGCCTTTTTTGGCTGTGGTAACTTATTTTCAGGCTATGTTGGATATAACAGAATTTTAAAACAACAAAATGATAAAAGAACGGTATGCAAAAATATTTGGCTACAGAAAAATTTCAACTTAGCAATATAAGACATTAACTGATATTTTAACAGATAGTCAAAATATTTGCAGCAATTCTTACCACTTGGATAAGGAATTCTACTGGAAAACCACCTAACGTTTCAGTGTCGGAACCAGAAATTTTATTTCTCCAAGGCGACTGTCCTAATAAAGGATCATTATCCTATGAGAATGAAAAGAGTATACTTAAATATCTTATTTTTAGATAAAGAGCAAATTTCATTATAGGTAATAGAATATTAAAAATACTACCAAAAAGAAAACATGAGCAGGCTTCAAAAAGCTCATGGAAGAATTCCATTTTCTTATCATTTTTCCACAAACTTCTGAAGGCCCCCTGACCCTATTTCCAGAGTAGAGGCAACTATTTACTTATTTAATATTTCATACCTCAAATATTTGGATGCTTGTGAAGTTGTAATAATTTTTTAAAAATGTGTAATAAATATGTATTTCACAGGAACATAGATCACATTAATAATAATCATTTAAGTTACTGATGACATTTCTAAATTATTATTTACCGTAATAGGTGACTGGAGAGGAGGAGTGTAATGTAACCGTGGTGGGGTCATGAAAAATCGAGAAGGCCGCTGTTTTTGTCCAAAGGCAGCAATTGGCATTGTCTCGTGAGGTTCATTACTCTTTGGGAAGAAAAAGAATAGTCCAAAGACTTAAAAGAACTTTACAATCATTTTAGCTCTATAAACATATTTCAGTTTGAGATATATTATTATTGCATATGCTATGTTTATCACAGAATATATTGAGCTATAATGATTAAAGCATTTCGAAGTATGAAACAACTATTTTTTTTGCCAGATGTTGAATCCATAAAACAGAAGAATTAAGGAAAAAGAGTACCTGAATATTCCTTAACTTAATTAAAGTAAACTCTTATCTAGCTTGGAAGAAACATTTGGGTGCTCTTAAAAGGAAAATTACACTGATAAAACTGAAATGAAATCTTCCTTTCTTGAGAGGTTTAAACATTTCATCCTTTAATGTAAACATTTAAAGTTGGTTTAAGTGTAAGAACTGTCCAGTCAGTTCTGACTCATAGCAACCCTATATAGGGTTTCCAAGGGACAGTTGCTGGGTTTGAACTGCTGACCTTGTGGTTCGCAGTCTAGTGCTAATCCTACAGCACCACATCAGGAGTCTAAAAGAAAGTTGTTATTGTTGTTGTTAAGTGCTGTCAAGTTGATTCCAACCCATAACAACCCTTTTTAGGGTTTCTAAGGAGAAGCTCGTGAGCTTGAAAACCCTGCAGTTCAAATGATTTTGCAGTCTGATGCATTAGCCCACAGCGCCATACCAGCACTCCAAAAGTTGGTATACTTAGCTCTATATCTAACTGATATCTTCTTTCTCCTCTATATAAAGGATATTTAAATAAAGTTACTATTTTTTTTTTAAAAATACATAGCAGAATTGGAAGATTCTTCTCTCCTATTTTTGCACTTGAGATACTGCAAGTTTGCTGTTCAATTCTAACTTCATCATCTTTGAAAACCAAGCTTATATTAAAGAAAGAAAATGACGGAAGCTAAAAATGAACAATTTAATTTCCATAATGCTTAAAGGCAGTATATTTTACCATTTTTCACTTTTAGAAAACTTCATTAATTTTAGTTTTTAGTTCTTCAAGTTATTTTAACTTAATAATATATAACTTTAATGGCACTGTTAAATCAAGCATCAAGAGTTTTTCAGTCTAACAGACTGTACCAGAAATTCAAAAGATCTAGATTCTATTCAAGCATAGCATGAAACCAATTCTAGAGCCTTGAATAAAGTACACCACATATTTATGTTTAAGTTTCATCATGCACAAAGTGAGAGTTTTATGCTTACGCTATAAAACTCTCAGGAAAAAAACCCAGTAGAATACATTTGAAAGTGCAAAATGTTATTTTATATCTTCAAAAGTATTTACAAGAGGGCTATACTTTACCCAAACAGACTAAATAGAAGGGTTTTGCAGCTTTCAACCACAGACCATACAAGGGGACTTTAAAAAGTTTGTTGAAAAATTATGGTACCTTTTAATCCCATTTTCCACAAACTTTTTGAAGTCCCTTCATATAGTCAGGAGAGACAGTTCTGGCATACTGAAGTGCTGTGCAGATAAGGTAGGGCAGAGGATCCAAACTGTAAGTCTTTCAAGTTTTTGGAAAATGTGGAAGCCTTTAAGTATTCTTTGATAACGAGGGGGGCCTATAGTTCTACTTGGAAGGTAGAGTAGGCAGGGCTGGCGACCCCTAAGGAACTCCTCCTCCCGTGACCTGAAGTCTTAATTCTGTCATAAAATACAATGTCCAGAAAACTCTACATAACATATTTAACACAAATGTATTATGAAATACTACTTACAAGAACTTCATAGTCAGGGATGGTATGGGTTCCAAGTCCTGTCCTATCAAAAGTTACTCTATAAGTAGCATTAAGAGTATCCACAGCATCTATTTGTCCAATGAACAGGCCATCATGAACACCACGCAATCGTGCTGAGAAAAGAAGTAAAGGTACTATAATGTTTGGGAGATGTAAGAAACGTCAAATATAATATAAAACTGTTGCAAGTATGTAACTTAAATGGTTAAAAGTATAGCATATTGTCTAGTATAGTTTCAAACTAAGCAAAAAAAATTTTTTTGAAACAAAGAACAAGACTATAAATGATAATAATTTACTATACAAATAAAATCATATAACTACTAAGCTAACAAGATTACTTTCAAAGGGAATAAAAAAATTTAAATCATTGCTTTGAAATCTAAATTGCAAAAAAGTCAAGTAAAAGAACTTTTATTTTTATATTCCTGAGTGAAATGCAAGTTGTTGCACCATCAAGTAGGTTCTGACTCATAGCGACCCTGTATAGGGTTTCCAAGGAGTGGCTTGCAGGTTTGAAATGTCAACCTTGCGGTTAGCAGTCTGGTGCTTATCCTATAGTGCCACACCAGGACTTTGGAAAAACTAGTAGTTCAAATGAAAAAATAAAAGAAGAAAAAGATGACAAATGAAAAAATAAAAGAAGAAAAAGATGACAAGGATGCTATGCAGAAAAATTAGCAGCAGGTCTAAAAGTGATTCCTTAGAAAGGCTTGCCTGCAAGACTGGTCACTAGCTGGCCTCTGAGAACTGGATTTAAGGAGTATTCTTGACCATACTCTAACTGATAGGGGTGATTTACTGGGTCTAGACTATGTTTGTGTATTATGGTTTTTTCTAAATACCTACTTTCCTTCTAAAGTCTAGAACTTTGGTATGTACTAGGCAGAGGGTGCCTATATAACTAGCCCCACTAAAGCCCTAATGAGCTTCTTCACTAGGAAAACATTTCACATATGTGTTGTTATGACTTGTTGCTGAAAGAATTTAGCATGCCTTCTGTGACTCCATTGGGAGAGGAGTCTTAGAAGCTTGTGCCTGGCTTCTTCCAGACTTCACTCCATGTCGTTTTCCCCTCCGTTAAATTTCCCTGGTTTACTTTTGCTGTAATAAATCTTAGTCATGAGTATAAATAACTCTATGCTAAGTCGTCCTGTGACTCCATCTAGTGAAATCGCCCAACCCGGGGGTGGTCTTAGAGACTGTTTACTCAGATGCCCACTGTGTCACACTATCAGTCTTGTCCAGTCAGAAATAACATCAGGAAGGTCCAGTCATTCAGCATAAATGAAAATATAATTTTGAGTGGAAAATATTAAGAACAGTAGAATTAAATTAGGCAAAAGGATATATTTTATTTTGACAAGAAGCACAATAAGCAATATTTTATTGGTGATGGTGGTTATGTGCTGTAGAGTCAGTTCCAACTCACAGCAACCCAGTTAGCAGCCCGATTCATAACCACTATGCTACCAGAGCTCCTTAATACTTTAATAGAACAGAGAACTATTCACTGAATAAAAATTAAAGTAAAAGGATTAATTGACTTAAACAACTGTAGAGGGAGACTAAAATATCACTTTCAATCTTTGACAATCAGCTATGGAAAAATGAATAGGGATATAAAGATACCAATGATAAAGTCAGAAAAACAAAAATAGATAGAAAAGGACTTCTGTTTATATCAGTGTGAAGAGCTTACTGATTCTCCTCTTGTCAGACTTATTCAAAACAGTCAAAATCAACCATTTCAGGGCACTGGAAGTTGACCACAAGCAGACAACAAATTCAGCAATGTTCACTGTTGGAGTCAGTGGCCCTTTTGCATGAGACTATTCCTACCTCTTATCCCTTGACCCTAACACACACACACACCACAGTACAGAGCTGGTCGTGAAAAGGAGCAGTGTTGTTGCTATAGGGGGCAGACACAACATAGGCCAATGGCAAAGATCTTTGGCTTTGTTAAAAGTAGCAAACTTGATTAGAAATGAACAAGGAAAAAAACTCCAGCTTTATAAGCTCAACGTTGTGATCTGGCCTGGGATAAACAGCAGATTTATAAGAAACTTAATAGGGAGCTCCTGGAATGCGAGAGTCACAAAAAAGCTGAGATAAGTTCATCTATCCCTGACTACCCGAGAAATTATCTGAATAACTCTGGCAAAAGGTAGAAGTTCATGATGACTTTCAACACGTTCACCAACCTACACAAATATCAATCAGAGGCCTTCAAGCTTGACATATTTGAGCACATTCTCTTCTCAAATAATTTGCTGACTACTCAGTTATAACGTAGTGGTTATGAGTTGGGCTGCCAACCTCAAGGTCAGCAGTTCGAAACTACCAGCGGTTCTGCAGGAGAAAAATGAAGCATTCTGCTCCCGTAAAGATTTACAGCCTCGGAAATCCTGTGCAGGGTCACTATGAGTCAGAACCGACTCCAAGGTACTTAACAGCAACAAGTTATATAGAAGGAGCTCTGGTAGCGTAGTGGTTATGAGTCGGGCCGCTAACCTCAATGTCAGGAGTTT